AATATATTATGATTTTGCAAAATTCGATATGAAATGAACCCAATATTTAAAGGTAAGCTTAATTGGAACCAACAACTTTTGGCGCTAGTAACATAACCTCAAAGGTGAGCACTTCTAATGCGGCTGAAGTTAGCAAAAGTTTTCTAAGAAGCTTTACCAATTCACCCAAATAATAATAACAATAAATAGTAATAATATTGCAAAATAATTTTTTCAATTTTCTCACTGAAAAACAAATAAAAACGCGCTAGAGGGAAAGGGCCCACCATTAAATACCGTCCACCACTTCCCTAAATGTAATTATTGATATGAGGAGTTCTCCAAACAAGACGTTATATAGAAGGTGATTGCAAAAGTGGTCGGAGCCGGATCATTTCCAATAGCGTTCGTCCTTGCGCGAAAACATGTCGGTATACTACATTTTATGAAAACGTCAAAATAATTGCGAATTTTAGGAAGTTGAGCATGAGAAACGAACCGGAGAAACAAAGTTGGTCTACCTCATCAGTTCCAGGTAGGTGTTGCATAAATTCACAAACTTAATCTGCCTTTGTACCACAAGTGGTGAAGGGAATAATAATTGTAACGGTTTCTCTCGTAAAATTACAGTTGAAACGTTGCAAGTCTATAAGTAAAACCCTAAGGTAGGACCTGTTTTTTGACAACATAAAAATCCACAGAAATGTATTACGTGGTGTAAAGATATTTGGCAAAAAATAGATTTCGTTTTCTATAATAGAAGCCAAGAAGACGTACTACAAACTTATTTTAATGTGATGACAAAAATTACAATCAATTCTTTTTAGGCGCCCGATGCAAAAAAATAATAATACATTGGCAAGAACGGAAAAAGATTCGAAAAAGGAATTTAAAATGGGCACGTGTGTATGTGTGCATGTGTTGACATAATTCAATAAAAAGCGATTTTAATTCAGCAAACTTACCGTCTTCGCCCCAAGAAGCATAAAAAGCTGTGTTGGAAACCAAGCAAGCAGCTTGAGTATGGACACATTCAGACATCTTAGTATGAGTACATATGTGGTTCATAATTAATTTCCACCAATTAATATTCGAAAGCGTATGATTTTGTTTCTTACTTTTAGGTAAAGGCAATATCTTCTTTGATCCGTGCGATTGCTTCAACAGCGTTAGCCATGTTCCATGCTCTCCTGCAACAATATAATGTTTAAAGATAAACAACAAAAGCTACATAAATAAAAGCGTGACGAAGAATAGAAAAATTTTCAACCGTATAAGACATTACAATGTTGTCCTTGATATATTTTTATTTTTAACACGATTTGCATGCATCAACTCAATATTCTTCTTCCTTCACAAAATGATTGATGACGGTCTTCGCAAATCAAATCGTAGATATATTTGGGAACGGTTGAAGTTCTTGAAAATTTTGTGCATGTGGATCTTCAGCGAACTATTTATTCTTTTCTTGTTGCTTATAACGTATTACTGTTTTTTTCACGTTTGCTTCGCTGAATATGCATTCATTTTATAATTTTTCAAAAACTTCATCGTTTTCTCCCCAAAAAAAAAAAACACTTTCTCCTATTTACCTGAAAAATTCTTTAACCTAACATGTTACATTTTATGCTTCCTAAAACAAGAAGCGTAAGAGCTATCTTAGCCAAGGCGGAATTACTATTGCTTAAGCCTGGATAAGTCCTTAAATCTTTCCCAATTCTTTTCATTCACCATGTCCTTGTTCAGCTTGTACTTTCTGTAGTCCTTTTTCATCAGCCGTTAACAAATCAATTTCTATTATTAAAACATTGCATGATATGAGTCTACACACAGCCGACAATATTGCCAAACTTCAAAAGGAGTGCTGAATAAATCGTCAATTCATTAAGTTTTAAAGTTCTTGACATATCAGCCAAAGATTTAGAACCGGTTTTACTATTAGTTAGTTGGCATTCATATTTACCGTTTATTGTCTCTGTGTCAAAGACGATGCAATGGGAAGGGAGTCAATTGAATTTGCTATAGTTGGGGAGTGACAGCTCCCGAATCATTATATATTATAATCAATTCAATTTAGTTTATCATCCTGCCCTGTTCGTCTACAAATGATTTCTGAGTCAACTGTTCTTTCAACAATTGCTTTGAAAGAAGATTGTGTGTTAAAGGTATAGGCAAAAGATGCCCATATCCATATTTCTTAGTATAGTTTGATGTTACTGTAACATTATGGATATTATCGTCTATTACGAATTCCTAAATGGCTTAGAATATCCTTAATTAAAAGTATCACTGACAATTGTCCGCTCATTCAACAAGTATATGTATGATGCGACTCAACAAAAAGCTTGTTAACTACCGACCCACAAACGCAACTCAAGACAGCAAAGCAAAGTCTCTTGCTGGATCTCCATCCCAAGTTATTTCAGACTGACTGCCTTTAAATATATCCAAGAATTTAACTTTCTGTCTTTTATCTCCAAAACTCTCATCTCATCGTCTCATACCATTGAAAGAATATTTTATGTTTAAATGATATGCTAAAGAATTTCTTAGCTCCTCTTATGTTGGGCTAACTTTTCAATTTACTTCGCATTATAGTATATACGGTATATGCTTGAAATGACATCGTAGCAGATTAGAAGCTTAGGTACATGTCAAAGGGAGGAAAAAAGGTCGTATTGCAAAAGCATGCATGTAAAAGTGCATTATTTGCTCGACTTTTCTATATGAAGATACGCTTACATAGATTTAAGAATGAAAAAAAAAAAATATCGATCAAAAATCCCTTGAATAAATGAAAATATATATATATATATATATATATATATATGCACGCATAAGCATGGATTTTCCCACATGACACCAACACAATTGTAAACGGATATAATCAGAAATCATTTCATTCCCACAACGTAATGTTGTTGTTGCGCTCATGAGGAAAGTAAATGTGTATTAAAAAAATATTTATTATTATTATTTCCATTGATACTTATAACGGCAGCAAATATAATCCAAGCGTTTATTAAAAAACGAGTATGTACCGGTTAATGCAGACATTAAATCGGTAAAAAAAAAAATAAATAAATAAAATGAAACGTACGTTGTTGTTGTCAGCAAATAACATTTCATTAACGTACGAAACATATAATCAAGCAACCACCAGCTCTCAGACTGTTTCGTACGTACAACGAAAGAAAAACTCAGCAACCTAGGTTAAGTATGTGCTTATCGACAAAAATACGGAACAGAAGCCTTCATCAAGCTTATGAAGCGTTGGAATTTTAAGGTAATTATTATGCACATAGAAATGTTTTCAGCTATTTCAGGCACGTGAAAATTTAAGTGCTGAACATAATCAATGGATTTGCATCGTGCATCAAGCAGTTGGTGTATGATGCACAAAATGCAAATGCATTCATTTTTATTAGGAATAACTGCATTGAAAAGAATTGAAATAAAGATGATTTATTTCGGATTTAAAAATTATTTATTCAAATTCTACCACACCACCTCCGCCCCTTGCGGTACCCTTTATGCCGATGTATTGCATATGCAACACCCAGAAGAACATGAGATAGACTCACATTTATTATATCGTCCAATTCAGAAGACAATTATGTGTCCGTCTCCCCGTCTTTTGTCCAACCCAAAGGTCGTAATTTTTGAGATATTTTAACGAGTTTTGGTACAGTAACGTATTTTCACCCAAGGAGGAACGCTTTTGAAAAGGATTTGGATTTGGTCCAATTTTTCGACCACTGCCCATGTAACGCCCCATACCGAATAAACGTTACATGAAAAAAAAATTGCAATTTTCAAAATTTCTCAGCAAAAGTGTAAGTAAATTGGTATGAAAACTTTGGGCCAACTGTGGCAAATTATTTAAAAACCCTCTCTTATAACCACTTCTATGGAAATTGAAGTTTTATATTGTAAAAAGTTCGAATTTCATGGTGAAAATTCAACCACATGGATCTAATTTTTGGCCGCACTCTATATAAGATATGTTATGAGTAGTAAGCTGTTAGGGAAAATGGATTAATTTTTAATATTTTATGATGAAAATTAATTCATAGTGTCTTATTACCAAGACGGGGAAATAACAAGACGAAGTGGTGTAGGGTATGTAGCGGTCGCCGCTGACCAACTATAATGCTGTTAGTTGCTTATGAATGATTTAAGTATATCATATACCAAAGAAAAATGTAAGCATATCTATAGTTGTGTATTTGAACCTGACTCGGAAGCTTTAGTTATAAAATATTGAATTTCTTTCACATGGGGAAACCATAAGACCCGGTAGCCGCTGTTGTAAAAGTTTAATTTGATATATTCGTTGAACTATTGTCGCAAAAAGTCCGCTTATTAAGGGTACTTCTTCTCTATATAATCATCTTTTATGAATTACAGTTGAATCGTATCATTTTTCTTTTAAACTCATTTTTTTTTAATTCTGTATTTTTACTGTATTTTTTTTTTTTTTTTTTTTTTTTGTTCTTACTTTTCACACATATGTTGTTTACGTTTATATCGATTATTATTATTTTTTTATTGTTTGTTTCTACTTGTTAAACCATATGTTGCTTGTTACCACCACTTACAACGATTTCCTTATTTTTACCTCTCAAACGATATGTTCGCCTAGGCACGCGTCGCATTTCATTGTGTTAAGTATTTGCAATGAGCGAAATATCTGATATGATTGATTAATGTCGTGCTAAAGGATTAAGTAATCATAATGCCATGTAACTAACGTTATCGAATCGTTATCGTAAATACCGTCTTGTGCAACTTTTACAGATAATAACAAAAATCATTAATGTGTCATGTCTAAGATTATCGCATTTGTATAGTAATCGCAAATGTAAACTAATACATCGGAAGTCGGATACGAAAGAACACGTGATCCGAAATATCCAATAGGCAAGAAGTGCTTTCAAGCGTTTACGAACAATTAATTGTGTGTAATTAATTAATATTGATAATACAAAAAAAAAAAACTTTTCATTAACTTTAACATCATGATTTCATCGAGATGCGAGCCATTGTTAAAAGATTTAACCAAAGAAGAACTTCTCAGACGTCTGAAGATGTTGGCTACAAAATTGTCTGCTACGACTCGCTCAATTAAAGATTCGGAATTAATAGTCCATCACATGTTCGCTAGGATATTTGATTTAATCAACGAGAACCATAGCGTTGAAATGAAAAATCATCTAACCGATATTCTTAGTTCTCTGATAATGGAAATTAATAACATTTCTATAGAACTATTGGACTTGCTGTTAAGTAACATTGTGAAGCCGAAGAAAATGCAAAACAGAACTGCATGCCAATTGGCGAAAGACATCATATTCAAGACACAGGATTATCTTAAGCCTATTCTTAAACGGTATTTCGATCGGATTTTTGTGATTAACCATTTCGAGATCACATCAGAAATATACGATAAAATCTGTGACTTAGTCTATGAATTGTATGCTATATCGCCCACTATTTTATATAACGTTCTGCAGCAAATGGAATACAAATTGCATTCAACTAATGAGCAAGAACGTCTAGCAATGGTCAAATTGTTATCGAATATATTTTCTGCAGAAGGCTCGAAATTCAATGAGCAATTTCCGAATTTGCTTTATATCCTATTGGGATGTTTTGATGATGGTACCGCCGCTATACGTATCACATGCGTTCAATATTCTATGCATTATTTTATTAATCATTCTCGCTTGCGTCCATATATCATTAAATGTTTGCGTGCTCGGCATCTTGATAGCAATGCAACTGTGCGTTATGAAGTGGTGTTGGCTATAGCGAAGGCAGTGAATAGTCGATTTGATATAGTTTGCGAAACGCGAGATTTACTTCTCATATTACGCAAATGTACTTTAGATACAATCTTTAAAGTCCGCCGAGAAGCTTTAAGTGGATTGGTTCTCATTTATCAGAAGGCTTCAAATGAAAAAAAATTTTCTCTTAGTTGGATTAAGAATACGGTAATGCATTTTTATTATATGCCCACGTTAGATGATCGCATTTGCCTTCAACGCATTTTAATAACGTATCTGATTCCTTATCAATTGAATTCGAAAGAACGCATGAAAAGATTATGTCATCTCTTAGCCACATTTGATTATAACTCCTCGCTGGCTTTTGTAAAATTGCAAAAAGATCACATGAATAAACGTAAAATTGTGCGAAAATGGATTATGTTACATCATTTAAAAGAAATTACAATCGAAATACAGGACCAACTTAGTGTTCAACAGTCACTAATTAGTAAAATGTTACCCGATACTATGAACGCGACTGAATCGCTTACGAGGTTCAGTGCAAATTTACGAAAAGATCCAGATCTATTACGTTACATGCAGATAATATTGAAACATGACGTCTCTTGCAAAGAATGTGTTATTGCTACGTTACTCCTATTGAAAAAGTTGGACGTACCGTGTAATGAAAATCTTTACTATCAAGTTGTAAAAATGCTTCTCGAAATTGTCGCCTCAGTGATGATAGATAAGGAATCCATTAGTGCGTTAGTAGAACTAATTGATGCTTGCATGCAAGGAGGTGATGCTGCGAAAGAAATGGGCATACCAGGGGAGAATGCGGGAATACGTGGTCTCAAAATATTAAATTTTTTGTCTTTTATTTTTCCCGTTCATTTTTATACCGATAAAACACTTCGTCATATGATGGATTTGCTGCGTTACAGACACGATTACATAGCACCTCTCATATTAAGATCTTTTACACGATTGGGTCAATGCAAAGCTCTATCGAAAATCAAGCCGGATATTATGTTTGATTTAACTCGCATTTGCAAATATTTTGCTTTGCATGGCACGGCCGAAGAAGCGAAACATGCGGTGCGTTGCGCGTACGTAAACGCGCAAGAAAATGCGTTACGTATTCCTGGAACGCCGCAAGTACATCCCATCTTCCATGAGATTGTGGAATCGTTAAGTAGCCCTCTAACATCAAACGACATGCACCGGCGTGCCAAGATTATTACGCTTGGTCATATTGCCTATAAAATGCCGCATGTATTTGCGATACCTATTAAGAAAATAATTAGTGCATTTATAGTTAAGAACGTGTTATTATGTAGTGTCTCAGAGCCACGTGATTGCAAATTGCTTGGATTAAATTGGTGCGAACGAGACGAATTGCCGCCTGATACTGTTTGCAAATTGGATGCACTTAAGACCATGGCTCGTTGGTCATTAGGTATGGCCACGGATGAATTTACAATACAGAAAACATTACGTCTGCTATTTGCCCACGTTTACGTGCCTGGAGGCTTCCTAGAACGGGACTATTTGCTACCAGTTGAAAAGTCATGGTTACGATTGGAGGCCGCCTGTGCTATTTTGAAGATTTGTGAGCGAAAGGTAATAGCGGATCAGTGCACTGCAGAGCAATATTTTAATTTATCACAAGTAATGTGCGATCCGGAACTCAAAGTTCGAGAAATGTTTGCTGCGAAACTTCACAAGGGCTTGGCGAAGGAATTGCCCAATAAATGTCTACCTTTGGATTTTATGGGTCACTATGTTCTCGGTGGGTATGAAACCGATCAGGATTTAGTCGAGAAGATGAGCGAATTCCTCAAGGCGGATATAAATAAAAGACGGGAATATCTGAAAATTCTAACCATGCAAAGTTCGGGAAATTCTACTGATCCTAAGAGACAGCAATTATTGCCCGATTTTATGCTAACCTTTGTTATACCGATTTTGGCCCATCATCCCTCCTTTACAAATCATCAAGATTATGCCCAATTAAAGCAAATTGAAAAAGCTTTGCGTTTTGTGCTCGACCCTTTAATCTCGAGACCAGATGATGATTTCTCATTTAGCTTTTACGAACGCCTCATCAGAATGATGAAAGATCATTGCTTGACGACCACTAATGATCATTATGATATTAACAATTTAAAAATGTGGGCGATTTGCGATATTGCCGACTTTGTAATACGATCCAAAATGCCTTTATGCAAATTATTGCCGAATGAAAATTTGTTCGCCTCCATACAATTGCCAATCAAATATTTTAAATCACATCAACACAAAGTGAAAGGTTTATTCAAACTTGCGGGTCTTAAGCCGGAGTATACTTCGCCCTTTACCACCGTTTCTCTGACTACAAGTAAGATAATACCAGTTACCGTAAAGGTAACAGTGACTGGCAGAAAACGTGCACGGTCCAGTGAACGGTGCCAAGCATCAAAAGAAGAAATTGTGAACAACAAGGACAAAGAAGAAGACGATTCAAAGTCTTTGTCGACCGTCGGGGGACGAAAGAGGAAACGCAACACCAGTATATAGAAGTAATGTTTTTCAATATGTAGCGGACTTCATAAACTTTTTTAGTATTTGAATAAAATCATTTTCGCATCAATTTTTGAACTGAAATTTTGTTTTTCAATTTCGTAAAGGAACTTTTAATAAAGTATAAAAGCAAATAATTCAAACCAAAATTTTTGTTTCTTCACTTTTCAAATATTCAATCTTTTATCAATTTCTTGATAAGTTAAATTATTTTTAACAAAAATTCTACGAAACTTTCTTCATCTCTTTAAAACAAAAAATTTAAACACAAATGAAATGAAAGAAGCTTTTTATTCATGCACTTTTCGAATATTAAATTGAAAATACATAGCCTTGAAGAAAAAAAAAATGTATACATCATGTATATGAATGAAATGCATAAATATATTTACATAATGGCTTATGTAAATATGAAAATTAATGAAATGCATAAATATATTTACATAATGGCTTATACTTATGTAAATATGGTTATTCATATTTAAGTTGGCTTTCTTATTCATTTTATCAAGGACTATCCCTATACGAATTTGAAAAAGATATGATTTTGATATGGCAAAGTAATGATACTAATGGTGTTTGCATAAATTTTGTTTAGCGCATTATTGTGGTAAAAGTGATAAAGAAAAGGGAAATACCAGGATACATAACACTTGAATTCAATGGGTTTGACCTTGAACAGTTTTCCACTTCGTATCAATGATTTATTCAGCGCCAACCAAAGTTAACCATAGACCAATCTTCTCAGTCTTCTTCCAAATTCATTACTTCATAATGCAACAAATAAATGTTGAAATTTTAATTACTTGCGCATTAAATAAAATTTTCATTAATTTGGCAAGGTTTCGTTTTGCACTCAATAATCTGGAAAACTTAGGAGAATATGCGCTAATTCATCTTTCGATTTCTCCTCTTCTTGCATATAAATGATAAGACGATTATATAATATTAAGCAGAGACTAGAAGAGCAATTGTTCTATCTTTGTATAATTTTGTATGATTTGATTCCATTGATTTATTTCAATTAATAATGCATTCGCAGCAAATGCATAGTCATGCGGATATTTAACTTAAGGTTTCTTTAATGGATGGCGAATAATTCATTTTTTCAATATCAATTTTTTGTAATAAAAAAAATTTTTTATTTGAATTTTTGGAGCAAAGTAAACACATTCTTACAATTTGCATATTGTTTTTATGCTTACTACCGAGGTGCATAGAAACAGTTCATTTCTCTTTCCGTACGTATTTAACACTTAGCGACCTCATGTGATACATAATTTTGTTTAGTGTATTATCTTTAACTGATTTAGTCATGTCTGTCTTTCCGTCATTCATAATTGGATTACTCATGGTTGTTGAATTAATGACTGAAAGCAAATATTTTCTTAGATATATTCCTAATTGAAGATTCCAGGAGCGATTAGTTTAAAACCATATGTACAATAGACAAAAAGATTATTATTTAAAATTCAGAGCACATATTAATCCAAAGAATTTTATAAACAACTTGATGACGAATCATCGAAGGTAAGAATGTGAAAAATACTACGACCTACGGCTAAGAGACGCAATATAAACTGTTTTTTTTTTTTTTTTTTTTTTTTTTTTTTTTTTTTGAGTGGGTGGTAAGTATTAAATTTATTATAAATTTCTCCTTCGTTTTTAAGAGTTTTGCATATACTCTCTGACGGCAAAATTGTTTGGTCTTATCTAAACTGCCGACAGAGCTGGATTTGCTTCCTACGAGAACAAAAGCAAAGAATCGAAACTTTTTTCGACAAAACGACGCTTCGGAATTCTATTTTGTCGCCTAGTTAAGATGTTCTCTAAGCACTATGCATTCCAGTCGTAATGATTGCTAAAATCATTTCATTTCGGATGTTACTCGGCGATCTAGTCCTATCTTTTTGAGCAATACAGATATACCGCAAAACATAAAAAGCTGTTTTTGACTCGTTTTTCATTACTGTTTTTATTTTCTAGAAACTGCATAATTTTTTCACTAATTTTTAATTTAATATAACGCTCATAGACTTCATTTTATTTACATAAAACTTATTAAAAAAAAAAAAAAAACAAAGTCTATATACTTTAAGTTTATTTAGCAAACGCTTGGCACATAGCTAATGGACATGGAAAATATGCTTTTCCAATTTTGTTTATTACGACTGACTCCTTTTAATTTTTATCGTATCGTTTGAAATATTTTTTTTTGTTTTTTGTATTTTTTTTTTTGTAAAATGTAGAGAAAATTGGATGAAGGTACGCTTGAATAAAAATGTAATTTTCTTGAATACATAATTTAACATAATTGCAACAAACCGCAGTTCTCTTCAATTTTCTGGTTGATACAATTTAGGAAATTTATGCAAATAGTGAAAATACTTTTTTCTGGCTTATACGATGGAGAGTGCTAGCAGCACCATCTCCTAACCATTATCGTTGGCAAAAACCGCGAAGAGAAATAACAGCAAACACCATTGCCGCCATCTTCGACATAATTAAGAATGTATTTTTTTTTTGTTTTTGTTTTTTATGTTAATCTTCTCTTTACAACATGAAGGGTAGTAGTATAAAGTTTAAATATATATATATATGTATAATGTATACACATCTCTTGATTTACCCGATAGATACGGGATGCGTCAAAAAACTATGACATAAATTTTATATTCATTAGGTAAATACATGTTTAACTGTACTGTAGTGTAAATTGTACTGAACTGTAAATAGTACACATCTGGAGTGGGGCAAGAATTAGACGAGAAAATTAGTAGATAAAGTAGTGGTAGTAGTACTAGTTCCCAAAAATTAAGTAGTTTTTCTTCTTTTTTCGTCAGATAAGCATATTGGCAAACGATAGAGGAATCGGTCTACGTCGCGTAGGAGCTCTCTTAGCCGCATTTCACCAAGCTGTTAAGAAAATATTGATAAGAGGGGGAAAAAACAGGAAAACTCTTCCTTTGCGTCAATTTTTATTTATAATTACAGCCAAATAAAGCGGGGAATAATTCCAAGGGACAGAGCGGACTTATAAACTAATTAGTTTTCAAAGCAGAGTTTTATTGTTTATACTGTTCTAATTTAGGATGAAAAATATAGAATTTTATTTTTGGTTTTTCTAATTTTCATATTTTTCAAAGTTACTGAGAAAAAATCAAACGAATTTATTCGCATATGATTTAAAATCTTCTAACTTTCGATTATTTTCGAAATTTCGAATAAGTTTTGACTCGATGGAAAATATAAAACTGAATCGAGAAAACAATAATGTAAGCAATGTGTATTTTTAAAATGTTCTTTGGCAAGCTGCAAATAAGTGTAAGCCATTCCTATGACCATGTACTTATTTCAGTACATGAAATTCAAATTGAATAATTGTGAATAAATAGTTTTTATTCTTTCTATGTTTACGGCAGAGAATGTATTTCTTTCGTAAATAATACTTAAAAAACAATAAATGAAACACACAGTCGAGGAAGGTCATATTGGATATTTTTTTACGGTTTTTGTCTGCGGGAATGAGATTGATGCCTATAGAACGGCCATTGCTCGCTTGATTGTCTTAAACGAACGTATGCTGAAACGGCGACATTTCAACTTTGCTCGTCTAAAAAGTTATATTCATTTGAAAAGGAGGGAATTATCTGAAAAAACACGCTATGTGATGCCTTTGTACAATAAATAACGTGCCTTAATTTTTATGAGGTGCACGATGAGAACGCTGTGAGAAAATCAAGGACAGCAGGAATGGTTTGCTCGATTATGTCTCGGAAAGTTCGATGTCAAAGGCGCACCTTGCTCTGATCGGAAAAGCTAATGAAATTTTATAACTGCCGAAGCAAGACCAGCTATCAAGCTGTCTGGAAACAACGAAAGCACTAAACATCAAACATCCGACCGTTTGGAATAGTTTAGAAAGGGACGAGCTATAAATGAAAACTCGAAACTGTGAAGACTTTTCAATATCATCTCATATAATATTCCTGAGGCAGAACATCAGTTTGGATAGATTTATTCTGATTATGATTGAAAACCTTGTTGTTATATAACAAAATATATACAAAAAAAACAAAAAAAAAAAAAAAAAAAATCTTAAAATCATCAATTTTCCTTTGCATTTTAAGGAATACTTAGAAATATTGAAAAATGCATTTCGTTTACCATAGAATATTATTTTCAATGTAAGCAAAAATGTAAAAGAACAGAAAGTTTAACTATAGATAGCACTTAATGTTATTCATATTATTTACCTGATTTTTTAAGAAATATTTTTGTTTATACGTATGTAGAACAAATATGAATAATAGGATTGAGTTTTCATCTTTAAGTATAATCAAGTTGGTTGGCTATGATACGATTATTTACTTTTTTCTTTTATTTTTATTTTTTTTTTTTGTCTCTAACCCTTTGGCTACGATAGATTCTGAAGTTACTGGGTAAGATTTTTAAAAACATTTTTCTTTTTCTAGTTAGGATTGACTATAGATTTTTTTTTTTTTTTTTTTTTGCATTACAGCTTATTTTGCAAAGTAAAATCATAGAGTAGATTTTTGTAGAAGAAAATTGTATTTTTTTTTTTTTTTTTGTTTGCTATCATGCCACGAACTTAAATTTCTAATTTTTATAGATCTATGTGCTATGCGTTTGTGTGTAGTGAGCGAAGGAAACAATTTTTTATTATATTTGAAACGCGGAGATGTTTTCAGTTTATGAAGTACTATAGACATGCCTTTTGACCGATTTGGCCCATTGCCAATACTAATCGGCATGCAAAAGCTTCGAAGCCGATAGCTTCATTTTTGCGGCCAGAAGAATGTTTACACAGATGGGCAGGCGGACAAACGAAAACGCTTGAAACGATTCGGAACTTGATTTTGATCAAAAGTGGGATATGTGAGATTTATTTCTGCGGCGTTGCGGACATAGTCATAAAATTAATAATAAGCACAAATAAATAATAAAAATAAATAGAAAATTTAGAAAATTTTAGC